GAGGCAGGTCCCGCCGGCTCCCCTCGGGGGGCCGGGTGCGGAGATGTCAGAGCGGGGACTTCGGCCTGTAACTGCCCCCGGCTGCTGAGGGAAGGGCGGCCCTGTGTGCCTACCGTCCGCGTGATGCAACGCTGCTGTGAAAACTCGGAGACTTCTCCTCTTCTGCCCGGCAGTGCCTGGCTTTGTGAAGGCCTGGGCCTGTAACGAGCTCTGTCCGAATAGCGACCGGCAGCTGTGGGAAGGTGTCGCGTGCCAAACTGGCGTCGTTGACGAAAAGCGTACATAAAACATAGTTTAATGCTATGTTTGCACCGGTGAAGACATACACTGGAAAATGCCTCTTTATAGCTGTGGTATAAAGTCTAATCCTGTTTCGCTGCAAACACATAGCCTAATACAATTCCTGCTGTGATCAGTATTATTTAGCATTATACCTTTTTTTTGTTACCCCGTTGCTGATCTTGTTTGGTAAGTTTCCCTCTCAGCAGTGTGGTAGATGCTAATAATCAATTCCTTTAGATTATTTTCTTCGTTGCGTGAAGAAAATGGTGCAAGTCAAGTTCCTTTTTTATAGTGAAATGTCTTTATGTGCATTATTAGAATTTTAGCTTTCTCTCATATGAACAAATCTACTGTATGGATTTGTACAGCACATCTGATATGCCTGTATGTGACCAACAGTCACCTTTTTTTAATTTACATGAATCAGAAATTATGTATTTGTGTTGTCATTCCTTTAATGTGTGCGTATAAGAGTATGTTGTAACATCCAGAGGTTGGTAAGATACTGAAGGAAAAGTACAAGAAATAGGACTGTAGCTTGAACCTTTTCCCAATGTTTAAGGATATTCCCTGTAATTCACTTCTAGTCCATCTCTCACACGTATATTGTTAAAGTTGCTTAAAATACTGCCTTGCATTTCTTGACTGTCAAAACGAGCAAGTTTTGTTCCATTTGGGTGTAACGTAATAAGCTGTAAATTCTGTAATAAGCATGCTATTTGACAAACTAAATTACATGCTAGGGATTGTTTTAGATGGCAAG